GAATCCATACAGACGCAAGTAGAGGAAAAGCATAGAGAAGGGTAGAAAGAGAGTGGATTCTGGAGAGGCAAAAGAGAAGATATTTATCACCCACACATTCTTTTAGTTAATCCTCACAACAGCTAATCCTCCTTTTTGACAGGTTAAGAACCAGCAATTTTCTAAAAATCAAATGTAAAAATAGGAAAGGGATATTAAATAATGGAGGTAGGATTTGAACTCAGGCCTGTCTGACTGGATTGCCCCACTGGAGTTAAGAATAGCTTAGCTTAAACAAGCAACGTGGGTGTTGGCCTATCACCACCAGCAGTACTGTGCTAAGTTCTGGTTGGTTGATTCGCTTGTTGTCTGATCAGTTGTCAGTGATGTACAGTGCATAAGTGCAGGTTCTAGCAACCATTTTTTTGCGCTTAAGTAATATTTGCATTGTCCATTATCCAGTACCTAAAAGCCTTTGTTTTAAGTAAATATTTGACAATGTCCAACTGAAGAGATTCTATACATGAAATGCCCAACATATAATGTCTTCTCCTTTAAAAGCCTGATGAAATGTGGCTTTGGCATGATTCTATGGTATAGTTTAGTTTATATAACCAGAACTTGTGTGACAAATAGGTAACAGACTCACCTTGTAATGACTGAGTATTCTGAAATCTTTAATTAGGTAGAAAGAAGTTTTATTGCAACCTAGCTCCAAGTCTGTGTTCTCTCAAGGCACTTGCATATGTGAGGTCCAGGGCACTGGGCCACGGCTTCTTAACCCTTTATGATTCTTGCCATCTTCTGCTAAACATAAAAATCTCATGTGCCAACCAAACCCCACATTTGGAATAGGCCTCTCAGGAAGGGCATAGTCTATCTTCTGATGATCTTCACCAATTCAGAAGCTTAGTTTCCATGCTTTACATGCTCAAAAGAGTAGTATTGTTCCCCAAATATGAAATTATTTAAAACTGAACATGCCTTTTCAAACTAATACCTTCTCCCATCCTAAAAGGGTCATTCTTCTTCACTTTGGAAGATTGCTACCACAAAGCCAATTCTGTTCCTACCTTTCTTAACTCTCTCCTCCATTTCTCTGCCCTCCAAACACCTAGCATCATATTAAGCATATATCATGTGCTAATAAACACTACAAAATGTGGTCTAACCTGAGGCTTGCAAATAAGGACAAGTAAGTCATTTGACCTGCTTCACTAAGTCTGGGCAAAAATATGGTTACACGCTTTTATTTCTTCAGTTAGTTGTTCGAGTCCCCAACCTTCTCTATCAGAAAATCATGTATCTCCTTTTTGAGGTTTCTCCATCCCTATTGCCTAAAAATCCTAAGGGTTTCCTTAGCTCACAGGGAGCCAAAAAGGTAACTGAGTTTGAGGGATCTACCACTGCTGTTGCTTCTTGCTGTCACTTGGTGTCACCTTGAAGACAGGTGCAATACAGTTCAGTGAAATTAAGTGAGCAAATACATTTAAAGTGGTTAGCATATCGATGGATACATGGCACTAAGTAGGTACTCAAAGATTTAGCTCTTATGTTATGTTTCATGTAGGGTCTAGACCAGAGGATCCCTGGAAGCCTCTCAGCTTTGGCAAATGGTGAAGTTAGCTCAGTCCCTGCCCCTCCCAGAAGCCTCTATCTTACTCACATTGTCCTGAAGTTGATCTGCCTCTAGTATATGGAAGAGGCAGAATCTAAGGAGCAGAGAAGTTTTTATAAAGCAATGATTTGTTCTGGCTCAGAGAAGGAGGGTTTTTTTCCCTTAACTGTAATCTGAGGTTTTTGGACTGAAAAAATATTGTCTCAGGTCACAGGGCTGGTTGGTAGTAGCTGGGCCTTAACTAAAGTCTTCCTTAATGTAGAACTTGATCAACTCAACAAGTATCCTGCTGTGCTTTAGAAAGCAATGCTCTGGAGAGCAAGGCGGTGGCTCATTTATTTTTATGTAATTCTTCTTCTGAGCACATTGCATTGTACATAACAAGAAATAGCCCTTCTCCATATCAACTGCTGTTAAAGATAGTCACCTGTGCACACATGCAAACCCAAGCACATTCACACACTTAGGAATCCTCTTTGCCTTCCATCTCTTTGGTTCTCCTTCTTCTTCCCTACTTTTAGGCCATAATAATTAAGAACAAAATGCACAGTGCATAGAAACCTTTTCTTCCCCTTTGAGTAACTATTGTTGCTTTACAACTTTCCCTATCTCTGTTTTAATTACCAGATTTCACACCCTCAGGAATACACTGTTCTTAGAAAATGCCAACATCTTATTTCCTCTTTAATAAACTTTGTGACTAGCACATAAAAGATCTCCAAATAGTAATTTATTTTAGGTCATGTGAAAAAGTTCATTGCCCACATATATTAAAAAGTAATGAATCATTAATATAAGCTAATTCTGCTTGCCAATCCATTTACCCATTTGAATTGTGTGCTAGAAGTCCATTCATAAGTCAATTTGTAGCCAGGCATGGTGGTGTGTGTCTGTAGTCCCAGCTACGTGGGAGGCTGAGGCAGGAGAATTGCTTGAACCCAGGAGATGGAGGTTGCAGTGAGCCGAGATCGCACCATTGGCCTCCAACCTGGGAAACAAGTGAGACTCTGTCTCAAAAAAATAAATAAAAAATAAAACAAGTCAATTTGCTTGTTTCTATGGGTAACTATGTTATCCATTATTATTCCTATTATGTATAATGGTGATAATAATAACAGTAATAACAACAACAGTTTATTGAGTACCAGGTATGTTGCACATATTATCTCTGCTTTTCACGACAGCCTTGCAAGATGAATAGCCCGTTTACAGATGAAACGGAGGTTCAAATAAGTTAAGGAACTTACTTTTAAGCCCACACAGTCAAAAGTATTTCTCGCTGAAGTATAGCTTCTCCTGAAGTGGTAGTTGTGGGCCACTCATGACTTTCCTTACTACATCTGTTGGGCCCCAGGCTGGTTGCCTGACCCAATGCCAATCAATCCTGGTTGTGGCCTGATTTGAAAAGATGAACTTGGCCAGTCAGATTCTTCCTTAGGAATTTGAATTGGGAAACATGGAAAGAGGCAATAAGTTGGCAGGAGAAGGAGCTAGGGCTGAAGGGCACAATGGAAAGTTGTCAAAGGAGTGTTGTAAAGGGACACTGAGGAGGCCATGATGGGCTGGCCATAGCAGAGCTGAAGCTGTGGAGCAGTGGAAGACAGGCAGTGGCTTTAATGTAGTGGAAGGAAATACAGTCAATGGGGTGGGACAGAAAGGATCATGTGTACAGAGCAGCCAAGTTGGTGCAGAGCACTCTGACACTCTGGAGCCATGTTCTGCCCCTTTCTTCCTTTTCCACAGTTTCTGTTCCAGGGTAGTCTTAAAAGAAATCCTCCATCCTTTGAGCTAACGTTAGTGAATGTCAGTTCCTTTCAACCAGAAGAGCCAAATTCAAATACATGGCCAGTTAGTGCTGGAGAGGGGATCTGAACCCCGGTTTTGTGGCTACAGTTTCTGTTCTTGTCACTGCGCCTCTTTGCCACATTACAAATGCCACTGTGGTTTACCATAGCCTACAAGGTCACCATAATGTATCTGAAAAAGAACCAATAATGAACCTAAATCCTTGTCCCAAGTCTTGGTTTGCTTCCAAAGCCCTGAAGGAGAAGGCGAGGGCTAAGAAAATCTCATAACTGGGAGGTCTCCAGACAACATTGAGCTTCTAGGGTGGAAGGGACTGCAATGAGGAGAGGGAAGGGGATGGGGAGGGCTCGGTTCTCGTCAGTGCAGAGAATGGGGGCTCCCCAAGGGCAGAGATTATTGGTCTTATCCCTGCTTCTATCCCCAGATTCCAACGTAGTGCCTGCAACATATTTGAATGAGTGAGCGAATGGATAAATAAATGGCAGAAGTGAGTCACAGCCCCTGTCCAAATGTATGGATCATTCTTCAGTCTAGTGTCCCTATGTTAAGGAACATATCTTAAACTGTCTCCATCTCTAAAAAACAATTCATGTAGTGCTGTGAATAACGTTTACAGTGACTAATCAGCTTTAGCTTTACCAATCATAAAGATGAAGTATTGGTGACTGTATTTATGGCACAGTTCAAAGACTACAAATGGGCAACTCTGGATTGCATTTGCCTTGTTTACAAAAACACCGCTTGCTTTGTCTTCATCTATCTGAAGAGAGTGACGTTTTCATTTTAAGAGGCTGACTAAAAAATGCAAGGCCACTTCCTGGGCAGGTTTCCAAGTGACTACATCTTTCTCACAGCGTTCCCCAGAGCCTTAGCCCAAGCTGCCTAGGGCGGGGCCTCTAGCTGCTGGTTGCTGTTGAAGCTACCACGGGAGAAGTCATCTGCAGCCTGCCCGGATTGCTGTGCTTTTAGACCTTCCAAAGGCACAGACAACAGAATTGGCCTTTGCATCGAAAGAGACATCAGAGTTTGTCATTGGCCAGGCTGGTGTGTGTGAAATACAGGCGATGTCAGGCCACACTTCTGAGTATGGCATTCTTTCCAGCCGAGTCTCCTGGGTATGGGTGAGTGTAAATGTTTGAAGACTGCCCTCGTTGGTTGTGAATGTTTGAAGCTGGGTGTTGTGACTTTCCAAGGGCATGACTTGGCATACTTCTTAACCCTAATGAGCCTCAGTTTCCTTTTTGTGAAGTAGAGATAGTATTAACCTATACTCTAGAAGTATAGAAGTACTATTCATCACAGAGGGCTGTGAAGCCTAAAAGAGATCACACCAGAGTATCTCATCTGGTACCTGGCATAGTATAGACACTGAAGAGCTTTTATTATTTCTGAAGCATCAGTAGAAAACAAACAAAAAGCTTTCAGTGATGATGCCCTATTTTTATTTCTAACAGTATAGTATTTCTCTGAAAGATTCAGTGGATATATTTGACTTCTTAATCATACCTGTGTAGCCAACAGAAACAAAACTTCAGAGGAAGTTAGTGCCAAAGGAAAGTTTGTTAGACTGTATTCCCTTTCTTTTTCTCCCTTCTAGACCCTGACGGCACCTGCTCCATTTGCTGATGAAACCAACTGTCAGTGCCAAGCACCCCATGAAAAACTGACCATTGCTCAGGCCCGCTTAGGAACACCAGGTGAGGCTGTACTCCTTTTTCTCAAATGGGTCCTGGCTTGACATTTAAAGTATCAGAAACGGTCTAGGCACAGTGGCTCATGCCTGTAATCCCAGCACTTTGGGAGGCTGAGGTGGGCGGATCACCTTGAGGTCAAAAGTTTGAGACCAGCCTGGCCAAAAAGGGGAAACCCCATCTCTACTAAAAATACAAAAATTAGCCAGGCATGGTGGGGCATGCCTGTAGTACCAGCTACTCACTTTGGGAGGCTGAGGTGGGAGGACTGCTTGGACCCAGGAGGTGGAGGTTGCAGTAAGCCAAGATTGTGCCACTGCATTCCAGCCTGGGTGACAGAGCAAGACTCCATTTCAAAAAAAAAAGTATCAGAAATGCCCAACATTATTTGTACAGCACTTGCTTTCAATCAGAGAGTTGAATTTAGAGATTATAACACAGTGCAAGAAGGGTAAACACTAGCAATGATAAACCACACCAACCACAGGAGCCGAGAAAAAAAAAGATGCATCCGAATACGGGGAGTTTGAGCCTCAGCTTTGTCTACTGTTAGTTCTACAACCTTGGGCAAGTCACTAGAAAGATCTGAATCTGTTTCCTCAAAACAGGGACAACAATACCTACCTCAAAGTTTCTGTGATAACTAGATTCTTTGAAAGTACCCAAGCATTTTTAAGACCATGAAGGCATATACAAACCTAAGCTAGTATAATTATTAACATTAAAAGTCTGCATTTTTAGAAAAGTTTCAAATGTGCCTTAAAAAGAGTGGGTTGTGCTATAGAAGTTTGTTCATTCATTCATCTCTAAAGCATTATGCCAGAAGATGGATAGGGAAGATATTTGGAAAGAATTATAAGGTACCATCTCTGTTTTTCAAGAGTTTTCATGATAAAGAGACAAGACAACTAGATGTGAAATAAAAAACACTAGTAGCATGCGTACACGTGCTTATGGGTTAAATCCTGCAAACAGATGATAATTGATTCTTAGAGAATGGCAGACTCATTTGGCCTGAGTGGTCAGGCAAGACTTCCGGGAGAGAGCAGAACAGACCTTTTAGGAGAATGAGATTTGGACTGTGTGGGCAGAAAATGTAAAGGTATTGCAGGCAGGTGGAAGAGGAATAATGAAGACACAGAGAAATTGCTTCAAGAGTAGTAAGCAATTTACCCATTTGTGGCACTGTCTTGAGTGTGCCCTCAAAAAAAAAAACAAAACAACAGAATTTTGTATCTGATAATGCTCTTCAAAATTATAGTTTTTTGTTTGCTTTTCTGTTTTTGTATTTTTGTATTTTAGGTTTCACCATGTTGGCCAGGCTGGTCTTGAACTCCTGACCTCAAGTGATCCACCCATCTCAGCCTCCCAAAGTACTGGGGTTACAGGCATGAGCCACTGTGCCTGGCCTAGATTATAGTTATAATTGGACTCTCTTACCATCTCCTGCACTAGCCATATTTTGTGACACAATAAAATTGCCTACAATACGTTTTACAAGTTTAGAATTGCCCAAACAGGGGCTGGGGTACAAATTCTAGAAGAGGTAATGACAAACCCTGCCCATAGCTGTCAGCTTTTTGACCTTGTTTGTGGGGTCCAAGGGGTGATGAAACCTCAAGAGAAAGAACAGAAAAAAGCAAAAAAGCCATCAGAATTGGCATCTTTGGTCTTAGTTAGTCCAGCTGTGAAGCTATGAACATACATGGTGTTGTATGTATTCTGATACATGGAAATCATTCTTCTGTCTTGACATAAAGGAAAAGTCCAGGAGATTGTTTCATAGGTTCCTTTTCATTAAAACTGCCTTTTTTTTCTTTTCTTTTTCTTTTTTGACACAGTTCTTTCTGTCACCCAGGCTAGAGTGTAGTGGTGTAATCACAGCTCACTGCAGTCTTAACCTCCCAGGCTCAAGCGACCCTCGTACTTCAGCCTCCCAAGTAGCTTAGATCACAGGCATGTGCCACCATGTCTGGCTATTTTTTGTATTTTTTGTAGAGACGGGGTTTTTCTATGTTGCCCAGGCTGGTCTTGAACTCCTGGACTTGAGCCATCTACCCACCTTGGCCTCCCAAAGTACTGGGATTATAGGCATGAGCCGCTGTGCCCGGCCCTAAACTGACATTTTTCTTAAAGGGAAACTCGTTTGTGATTTTCTGTTTTCCTTTTCAGAAAGGAAGTTTGTATTATCTGTTTCCACAGTGTGTAGAATTTCCCTGACTACATTTTTCAAGAGCTGCCTTAATGAATCTGCCTTATGCGTGTACCATCTGTGATGTAGTTTACTTAATAATTTTTCTTTATATATACTCGCTGTTCTAAAACTTTAATGTATTTAAAAAAGCAAACTTCAATCACTATTATTTACAGAAAATAGTATAATTAGCTAGTATCGCTGGCTGGTGATAAGTAGAAGATAACTATAAAGTTTATATGAAACTATGTAAATTGTATAAAATAAGTAACTATAAGATTTTAAAAGGTAAACTTGTGCCACTTTTTTTGCACATCAATTGTACAAAAAACAGTACTAGTTCCCATAATTACTGGGTGTTTAATAATAGTTTCTGTTTCGTTTTAAAGACTAGAGTTCATATCAGCATGTAGTTTTCTAGCAGGTCCTAACAAGGTAGAAGAAAGAGTGGTGAGTTCGATTTGCACTCAGACATCATCATAAATTGGTTGTATGACATTGGTTAAGCTGCTTTCACCTGGCTACCTCATAGGGTTGATGCAAAGATTATGTGAAACATATGTGCTTTGTGAATTGTATGTATGTCAAAGATACTGTTTAAATTCCTTAAAATAGTCATAATTCAAGCCTTGTTAATAGACATAATCAAAGATGATCAATCGCCCTTTTAATTTTGCTTGAATCTGAAGCAAATACCAAGAAATGCCTAACATACCCCACAATAGTCTGAATTTAAACTTAACGTGGTTGGTGATTGCTTCCTGTTTGGCTGTATGGTAGGGGTGTGTTTAACGTTTTAACCAACTGCCAAACTGTTTTCCAAAGCGCTCGTACCACTTTAAATTCCTGTCCGCAGTATTTGAGTGTTCCAGTTGCTCTGCGTTCTCACCATCGCTTGGTATGCTCAATTAAACAACTTTTTTTTAGCCATTCTAGTGTGTGTGAAGTGTTATCTCATTGTGGTTTTCATTTGTCTTTCCCTAATGACTAACGTTATCGAGGGTCTTCTTGTGTTGATTTGCCATACTTGTATTTATTTTCTTTGGTGAAATGTCTGTTCAATATTTGTGCTTTATTTACCTGGGTGGTGGGTTGTTCATCTTACCGAGTTTTGAGAGTTCTTTATATATTCTAGATACAAGTCCTATATTTCGCAAATATTTTCTCCCAGTCTATGACTCACCTTTTCATTTTTGTAAAAATGTCTTTTGAAGAGCAAACATCATGAGTCTCACAGGCTGCATTCAAGGTGTCACCCCAGGATCAGTTCTCATCTGGAGGTTGACTGGTGTTAGATCTGCTTCCAAGCTCACTCAGGTTGTTACCAGAATTTATTTCCTTGTGACTGTAAGAGAAAGGAGCCAGCTTCTTACCAGTTGTCAGCCAGAGGCCACTCTCACCTCCTAGAGGCCACCTGCAGGTCCTTGCCATGTGGCTTTCTCCATAGGCCCTTTCACAACATGGCAGCTTCCTTCTTCAAAGCCATCAGTGGAGAAAGAGAGTGAGTTTGCTAGCAAGATGGAGTCTTTTTCTTTTTTTTTTTTTGAGATGAAGTTTCACTCTTGTTGCCCAGGCTGGAGTGCAGTTGCACAATCTTGGCTCACTGCAAACTCCACCTCCTGGGTTCAAGAGATTCTCCTGCCTCAGCCTCCCAAGTAGCTGGGATTACAAGCCTCCCAAGTAGCTGACACCATACCAGGCTAATTTTTTTGTCTTTTTAGTAGTTACAGGGTTTCACCATGTTGACCAGTCTGGTCTCGAACTCCTGTCCTCTGGTGAGCCACTTGCCTCAGCTCCCGAAGTGCTGGGATAACAAGCATGAGCCACCATGCCCCGCCAAGATGGAGTCTTAAAATGTAACATAATCATGGGACTAACATCTACCACCTTTTCCATATTCTACTGGTTAGAAGCAAGTCACAGATCGCACACACACTTCAAGGGGAGGAAATTACACAAAGCATGGGCACTAGGAGACAGAGATCATTGGGAGCCACCTTAACATCTCTCCACCATAGCCATGGAATAGTTGTACTCTGACATCTTTTTTTGTTTGTTTGTTTTCAATTGACTTCCGGTCGTTGCCAAACCTCCAGCTTCACAGGTCAGTGGTATCTCAGACGCTCTGGAGAGTCCCTAGATGCCTAAAAGGATGTCCAGAAAAATCTCAAACAAAAGATGAAAACGGATCAACATACAAACTAACTAAAAAGCCATATACTCTTTTTTTTTTTTTCAAATGAGACATAGTCTCACTCTGTGGCCCCGGCTGGAGTGCACTGATGCGATCTCAGCTCACGGCAACCTTCACCTCCCAGGTTCAAGCGATTCTCCTGCCTCACCCTCCCGAGTAGCTGGGATTACAGGCACGTGCCATCACACCTGGCTAATTTTTTTTGTATTTTTAGTAGACACGGGGTTTTACCATGTTGGTCAGGCTGGTCTGGAACTCCTGACCTGTGATCCGCCCCCTCGGTCTCCCAAAGTGCTGGGATTACAGTCGTGAGCCATCGTGCCCAGCCTATACTCCTTTTTAAAAAAGCTTTATTATAGAGTATTTCAAATACCCACGGAAGTAGAACAATATAATGAACCTTCCTGTGCCTGTCACTTATACCTAACAACCACCAACCCATGGCCAGTCTTGCACCATGCACACCTCCGTCTGTTCCATCCTCTTGAATGGTTTGAAGCAAAATCCCACATTTCGTAGCATTCCGTATATATGTCTGAAGAATGGAAATTGCTGATACACCACGGTTTTTAAAAGTGAACTTATTGCAAAATCAGCTTTGTAAATACTCTTCAGATTTACCAAATGGCCTTTTTCTCAGTAATTACATCTTCTTTCTTTACTTTTCTTTCCTCCCTGCTTCCTGAATTCATTTATCTTGATCACCTCTGAATAAATAACAAAAAGTTTTACAAAACTGCCATCTGCTTTCCCCTGGGGTTTATATCTTAAAACAAATTTTACTCAATTGAATTCAAATTGAATAAGAACATTGAAAGCAAGGCTCCCTCATTAGACAGTTTGTTATTTCAAAGCATTTTCTATTTACTGTGCCTTATTTAGAATACAGTATAATCCTATGAAGGCAATTCTGTTCAAAATTGTGTATAATTGGAAATAATTGCAATTTCCAATCTGACATAAAGTCTCTCAACTTTTTTTATTAGAGAAATTTAATTATTAGAAACATTCTACCATCTGAGTCTATTAATGTAACATTTCTTTATGTTCCAAATTAATGAGGTTGCATTGCATCAAGAAATAATCACAATTTTCAATCTAAGTCTTAAAGATCATTCAACAGAAATTGGCATTGATTTCTGTCTTTTTAAAAAATTTATTTTTATAACATCAGCGTAATACATGCATATATATAAACATATATATGTATATATACATATACATACACACACACATATATATATATATATATTTTTTTTTTTTTGAGACAGGGTTTATCTCTGCCACCCAAGCTGTTGTGCAGTGGCTTGATCTCAGCTCACTGCAACCTCTGCCTCCCGGGTTCAAGCTATTCTACTGCCTCAGCCTTTGGAGTAGCTGAGATTACAGGTGCCCACCACCACACCTGGCTAATTTTTGTATTTTTAGTAGAAACGGGGTTTCACTATGTTGGCCAGGCTGGTCTGGAACTTCTGACCTCAAGTGATCTGCCAGCCTCAGCCTCCCGAAGTGCAAGGATTACAGCCTTGAGCCACCACTTCTGGCTATTTTAAAAAGTCAGTAGTACCCTTAGCTTATATATAAAAAAAAACTAGAGGTCCCTTTCCCTACCTTCTTCACCCCTGATTCTTATTCCCTGTGGCACTCAACACTTGACAATCAACTTTCCAAAATGTTGTTGACTTTCTTATCCATTGTCATTGCTTTTCTTGTTTTCTCCGCCCTTAAGGGGTTATATCTTTTTAACTTAACTTTTAACTTTATCTTTTAACTCTTAGTTCTTTAAGTTTTAACTCTTAGTAATTGTTGCAGTGTTTCTAGGAGGAAGTAGAGATAATGTGAGTGTTCAGTTCACCATATTTAACTGATAGTCCTTGTACTTCTTTTTAAAGAAGACTATTAGCTCAGCCTATAATCCCAGCACTTTGGGAGGCCAAGGTGGGTGGATCAGGAGGTCAGGAGTTTGGGACCAGCCTGGCCACCATGGCGAAATCTGTCTTTACCAAAAATACAAAAATTAGCCGGGTGTGGGTGTAGGTGCCAGTAATCCTAGCTACTCGGGAGGCTGAGGCAGGAGAATTGCTTGAACCTGGGAAGTGGAGGTTGCAGTGAGCTGAGATCGTGCCACTGCACTCTAGCCTGGGAGACACAGCAAGACTCTGTCTCAATAAATAAATAAAAATAGAACACTATTATGGCCGCTTATGTCTCTTTCCTTCTCACTGCAAGAATACAATGTCTCTATGTTGTTTGTAGCCATGGAGAAAAGGTGATAAGGGTGCTTAAAATGAGACCATTTTGATATGAGAAACTACTTCTTTCTCCTCTCATCCATTTTTGGATCCTCTTCTTGGACTTTCTAGTGCCCTTATGGAGAGTCTAGAAAGGTGTCAATATTGGCAAAGTATATAGAATTTTCTATATAAAGGTAGCAGGGATCTTCCAGACTATCAGGTTGGGGGTATAATAGAGCTGCAACCAGCCCGATGCAGTGGCTCCCGCCTGTAATCCTACCACTTTGGGAGGCCGAGGTGGGTGGACTGCCTGAGCTCAGGAGTTCATGACCAGCCTGGGGAACATGGTGAAACCCAGTCTCTACTAAAAATACAAAATTTGTCGAGTATGGAGGCTTGTGCCTATAATCCCAGCTACTCAGGAGGCTGAGGCAGGAGAATCGCTTGAACCCAGGAGGCGGAAGTTGCAGTGAGCTGAGATCACACCACTGCACTCCAGCCTGAGCAACAGAGCGAGACTCCATCTCAAAAAAAAAAAAAAGAGCTTCAACCTCCTTCCTCCAACCAGTTAAAAAGAATAATTTTGTGTGACTTGTTTTGTCTTGTTCCTCCTCCAGAAGGCCTATTTCAAATTGATGGAACTCTATACCCAATTTTCCTAGGTGACTTGAAGGGGATGGGTCTTTGGCCTGGCTGAGCAATAGTGTTATCCCGCTGTCTCCTGGCTCCCAGGGGTGCTGTACTGAGGTGTGTCCCTCTTCCTTTTGGAAGCACTTTTTAGAGCACTGCATGCCACTGTCTGTGTAACCTCTTCACTTCTCACCTTTCTCCCTGGGAAGGACTGTAGTGTTGGCTGCTCATCTTCAGCCCTGAGCGCTGCTTCTACATGCAACATTACACCCTGACTCTCCTCCCTTTGAGGCATGTGTCCCTCATCTCTTTATTTTTTGAGACTGACCTTCGCTCTTTTGCCCAGGCTGGAGTGCAATGGTGCAATCTCAGCTCACAGCAACCTTCACCTCCTGGGTGCAAACAGTTCTCCTGCCTCAGCCTCCCAAGTATCTGGTATTACAGGCATGCAACACCATGCCTGGCTAATTCTGTATTTTTTAGTAGAGACACAGTTTCTCCATGTTGGTCAGGCTGGTCTCGAACTCCCGACCTCAGGTCGTCCGCCTGCCTCAGCCTCCCAAAGTGCTGGGATTACAGGCATGAGCCACTGTACCCAGCCCTCATCTCTTATTATACCAAAGAGGTTAGGGAGATCATTACAGTGGTATGCTAGTCAAGGTTTAACAGCTGATCCTCCAGCATGAAATAAACCCTGATTTGTAGCATTTGCCAATTTCTGTAGTGTAAGCACTCTACCTTGGCTGACTTCTGGCTACTCACATGACTTGGAGTTGGGAAAGAAAGGTGTAAGGTGGGCCATGTGAGCAGATTCTAGTACATCACTGCCTTTGGGAACAGGAACTTGGGATCTTCATTCAGGACTGCCAGACTCAAGGATGAAGTCATTTGTCTTTTCCATGGAGCTCCTCAGTTACTCCTGCCTATGTGTTCCAGCTGGGCTGACTGCTGGCTCAGGCACCTAGACTCCACCCTCGGTCAAGAGAACTGCCCAGTGCTCTGTGTTTGTCTCTTGTGTTGGCTAAAAATGTGTGTTCCCTCTGTTGATCTTAATTTTGTTATGTTTTTGCTCTGCTTTGATGTCTTCAGAGGAACCTCTTTTTAAAATCAATTTCATGCACTGATGTGAAACTGATGGTATGTAGAGATTGTGTCTTATCCAGAAAGTTTCTTATGACTGATGGATGGCAACTGGGATTCCTCATTCTGTAGTTCTGTTAACAGTGTTTTCTTTCTCCCACAGTGGACAGGCCTGTCAGAGTATACGCCGATGGAATATTTGACCTCTTCCACTCGGGTCATGCAAGGGCCCTTATGCAAGCAAAAACCCTGTTTCCCAACAGCTATTTGTTGGTAGGAGGTAAGAAGTGCATTTTTTTTTTTTGTCTAGAAAACTCTTATAATATGCTTTCTGAAAAGGGCCCCTTTCACAGTTCCATCAGAAAAATCTGACATTGTTAATGCTTCCAATTCAGCCCACACTGGCTCACTTGTTCACTGCCTGAAATTTAAAATGACGTTTGAAAAACCATAGGGGAAGTTGCATCATGGGATTGTAATACCCTGATCCTCAGAGAGAGATGGACTGATAGTACCACCAAGGGTAAATGCTTCATGTTTTCCATCAGTGCCTTTCTCCTAGTGTTTAAGGCTTGATCCAATTTATGTTTCTAAAATTTTCTAGTGGGATAAGAGAAGCAATATTATTCTGATTTCAGATCTCAAAGAACTGAAGAGAGTTAGGATGATGAAGAGCAAACAAGGTCATTATCTATTTCTTTTGTGTGACCCACAGCACTTAGGACAATGTTGTGCTAACACTAGTGGCTTGTAACAGCCCCACTTAGTTGAATGTGTCAGTGCATTAAAGACGTGGAGATTTATATATCCAGGTAATCTCGGTTCACAACGAAGGGACCAACTTAGTCACTAAGTCTGTGGAAAGAGAAGGATTGTTAGGTGTGGACTGAAATTTTCCTCCACCAGGAGGTCTAACTATTTAAATTTGGGTAAAAGGGACAGTAACTGACTGGGAAGACCTGTCTAGCTTCTGGAAGGAGCATATTCATTCACAGTAATCAGGTTTTGTGGCATATAAACTAGGCACCATCAAGCCTTACACCTCTACTGGGAGAAAAAAAAAAGTACTGGTAGTAGACTACATAACTGTTTTTTAAAGCATTTTGTTACTTCTGCAATTAAAAACTACTTGTTGTTTGTTTGTTTCTTTGTTTGAGACGGAATCTCACTTTGTTACCCAGGTTGGAGTGTAGTGGTGCCATCTTGGCTCACTGCAACCTCCACCTCCTGGGTTCAAGCAATTCTCCTGCCTCAGCCTCCTTAGTAGCTGGGATTACAGGCACGTGCCACCACACCCAGCTAATTTTTTTTTTTTTGTATTTTTAGTAGAGACAGGGTTTCACCATGTTGGCAGGGCTGGCCTTGAACTCCTGACCTCAGGTGATCCACCCCGCCTTGGCCTCCCAAAGTGTTTGGATTACAGGCGTTAGCCACCATGCCAAGCCAAAAACCACTTGTTGGATATTTAAGAGGAACTATTCTGCAGATTTTGCCAAGGGTGGTGACCACAGGACCATTGAATGGAGTTCTTTCCAGAAGGAAGAAATGGTAAAAGGCAAGGGTTACTGGGCAAGTCATATAGAGGGAACCCAAAACAGGCAGGGAACCCAGCACTTGCTCACTTCGCTTTAGCCTGAAAACCATTTATTGAGAGAGCACTACCACCTGGAATCTTATCCTAGGCTACTGGGGCCCTGGAGGGACCTCTGCAGTATTTCGGCTTCAGTCATTTCGGTGGTCTAAGTTTAGAGGTTTTAGGTGTGGGTCACAGTTAATAGGAACACTAGCTGGTGGCCCTGGGTTATCACATCAAAGGTAAGATCAAAGGAAATGTGCAGCTTTCAGTATATTCTTGTAAATTGGAGAAGGCAGACAGTTAATATCAGCAGCTCTCTAGGTCATTAGGCAACTATGATTTCAGTGATTCACTGAATGATTTCTTCATCTAACAACTTTTTTTTTGAGATGGAGTCTTGCTCTGTCACCCAGGCTGGAGTGCGGGGTGCAATCTCAGCTCACTGCAGCCTCAACCTCCTGGGTGCCAGCGATTCTCCTGTCTCAGCCTCTTGGGTAGCTGGAATTACAGGCACATGCCACCACATCCAGCTAATTTTCCATATTTTTAGTAGAGACAGGGTTTCACCATGTTGACCAAGCTGGTCTTGAACTCCTGACTTCAGGTGATCTGCCTGCCTCGGCCTCCCAAAGTGCTAGAATTACAGGTGTGAGCCACTGTGCATGGCCCCTTCATCTGACAACTCTATCGAACTCTTACTATGTGCCAGACATTTTTCTGTATACTGGAAATGCAGCCATGAATAAAACAGACTGTCTATGTCCTCAGAGAACTTAGAGTCTGAGGGAGAGGCAGTCACTACCCACTAAACAAGTAAATATGTAGTAGTGGTACTATGAAGAAAGATAGGATAAGAGAAAAGAGTGACTGGGTGGAGGAAGGAGGGATGTTTTAGGTAGAAAGGTCAGGGAAGACCTCTCTGAGGAGGTGACATTTGTGCAGAGACCTGAATGAAATAAAAGCACACAAAAGCCAGAACATCCAATCTTCCCTGTGCAAGGTTCTCACCAGTCAGGACGACAGTGTGGGACAAGCAGAGAAGACACGGTGACTCCAGTGACATGTTAGTTTTTTGATTTATGCATCTTAAGGAGGCTTTCCGTAAAATTACAGATTATTTCATACTCAGATAAATTAATATGGGCAGAAGTTTGGACCAAGAAATAAAGCAGAAAAGAAGGAGAAAATTTTCAATAAGAAATCCTGGACTTTTTAGCACCTATAGCAAAGAGGGCCACACAGTCATTCTATGACTCTCAAACTCTAGAAACTGAATTGTGCCATCTGGAAGAACTATTTTCCTGCCTGAGTTCTGAGATAACTGTTTCAGATGGTCACTGTGTAAGGGGCATTGAATAATCCAAAGAACAATGTCCTCTCTCCCAGGTTTACAAAGAAATTCAGATACTCCCTCGATGGTTATTACATGGGTTGTGGAAGCCATATTAAACTACTAGGATGACCACGAGACTATATCCTTTAGTAAGTGACAGGGATTGGAGTACAGATAGAAATAAAACAATACAACACGAAGCTATAAAGAAATAGTACCTAGACTTCTAGGGAACAGTGACAGAGTAAGAGTGAAGGCTGGACATGGTGGTGCACGTCTGTAGTGCCAGCCACCCAGGAGACTGAGGCAAGAGGATGACCTGGGCCCCGGAGTTTAAGGGTATAGCGAGCTATGATCACACCTGTGTGTAGTTACAGCACTCCAGCCTGCACAACACAATGAGACTTCATCTCTAAAACAAACAAATAAGAAAAACACCAACCATGGGCAATAGAAACAATAATAAATAGTTTCAGTGTGTTCTTTTCTCTATAGATTTCTTATTCTTATTATCTCATATAAATAACTGAATGGTAATACTATGAAATATTTTCTAACCACTCTATTAATAAAATTCAGTGACATCCTGGCTGGGCGCAGTGGCTCACACCTGTAATCCCTGCACTTTGGTAAGCTGAGGTGGGTAGATCGTCTGAGGACAGGAGTTTGAGACCAGCCTCGCCAAAGTGGCGAAAACCCGTCTCTACTAAAAATACAACAAAAAATTAGCTGGCCATGGTGGTGCACACCTGTCGTCCCAGCTACTCAGGAGGCTGAGGCAGAAGGATTGCTTGAACCTGGGAGGTAGAGGTTGCAGTGAACTGAGATTGCGCCACTTCACTCCACCCTGGATGACAGAGCAAGACTCCGTCTCAAATAAATAAATAAATAAATAAAGTAAGTAAGTAAATAAAATTTAGATATCTGCTTCTTAAGTTGTTATAAAATATGTAATTTCTGGAAGATTGTAAGTATCAATCTTTTAAAAATTAATAAACTTTTTTAAAAATTAAATTAAATTTAATTTATTATTTTTAATTGCATTTAGGTTTTGGGGTACATGTGCAGAGCATGCAATACAGTTGCATAGGTACACACATGGCAGTGTGCTTTGTTTGCTTTCTCCCCTTCACCCACATTTGGCATTTCTCCCCAGGCAATCCCTCCCCACCTCCCCCTCCCACTGGCCCTCCCCTTTTCCCCCCTATGGACCCCAGTGTTTAGTACTCCCCTCTCTGTGTCCATGTGTTCCCATTTTTCATCACCCGCCTATGAGTGAGAATATGCGGTATTTCATTTTCTGTTCTTGTGTCAGTTTGCTGAGAATGATGTTCTCCAGATTCATCCATGTCCCTACAAACGACACGAACTCATCATTTCTGATTGCTGCATAATATTCCATGGTGTATACCTGACAAAAACAAGCAATGGGGAAAGGATTCCCTGTTCAACAAATGGTGTTGGGAAAACTGGCTAGCCATGTGTAGAAAGCAGAAACTGGACCCCTTCCTGACACCTTACACCAAAATTAACTCCAGATGGATTAAAGACTTAAACATAAGACCTGGCACCATAAAACCCTAGAAGGAAATCTAGGCAAAACCATTCAGGACATAGGAGTAGCCAAGGACTTCATGAACAAAACACCAAAAGCATTGGCAACAAAAGCCAAAATTAATAAACTTTTAAGAGAAGTTTTAGGTTCACAGCAAAATTGAATGGAAAGTACAGCGAATTCCTGTTTACTCCTTTCCTGCATAGGCATAACCTCCCCTACTGCGAACATCCTGCCCCAGCCTGAGGCATTTGTTACATCCATGAACCTACACTAACACATCATTATCACCTAAAGTCCAGAGTTTACATTAGGGTTCATTCTTAATGTTATACCTTCTATGGGTTTGCATAAAATTATACATTGTCCAAACTCATAGATGTACATGGTATAATGACAAGTATCCATAATAATAGTATCATACAGATACTATTTTTACTGCCCTAAAAATCCTCCATGCTCAACCTATTCATCTCTTCCTCCTGTAACCCCTGACAACGACTGTTCTTTTTAGTATAGTTTTACTTTTTCTAGAACATATATAATTAGAATCATACAGCATGTAGCTTTTCAGACTGGCTTCTTTTACTTCGTAATGTTCCATTTAAGGTTCCTCAATATCTTTTCATGGTTTGCTAGCTTATATCTTTTTGGTGCTGAATAATATTCCATTGTCTGGACATACCACAGTTTATCCATTCATCTGCCAAAGGACATCTTGGTTGCTTCCACATGTTGGCAATTATGAATGAAGTTGCTATAAACATCTGTGTGCAGGTTTTTGTATGGATATACATTTTCAATTCATTTGGTTAA